GTCTCAGCTGTCCCTCGAGAGCACCGTGGGGCCCTGCGGAGAGCGATCTTAATGCCAGGGGATGGGGAGGGGCTTCGCAAGATGGCCCGGAGACCACCCGGCCCCCACCTGGGGCCCTACAGCCCCAGGGGCACATTGAAGAGAGGAGGACAGGGTTCTCCCCCCAACAGTGGGGAAGCAAAACAGGGAGACCTGCCCCGCCTCGGGACCCTCCCCAGCTCCCCAGTTCCTCCCCCCTCCCCAGACTTCTCTCCCTGTGGGATTGGCTGCACTTTTGACTAGGCCTGTTCTTGACCTGGTGGTGGACGTGGCTGCAGTAGGAAGAAGGGAAAGACCGAGAGGGCAAAGCAGATGCTCTCCTGCCCCGGTCCTGTCTGGCCTCGCCCCCTCTTTGCCTCCTTGGAAGCTCGCTGTCCGGAGCCAAGTCCAGAACCCAGCCGGCCATCTCCATGGTGCCAATTACCAGCAAGTGTCTTTCCTGCGGCACCGGGTTCAGGCAGCTACTCCTGCCCCAGAGTGATGGGGCAGCTTTGCAAGGATCCGGAGCCAGCTCCTGGGGGGCCCAGGACCGCCCCCCCACTTGAAGAGGAGTGCGGGCCTCCCTCTGCCTGCCTGCCTGTGGAAGGCGCTTTGCTGCAGCCCGTCCAAGTCCACGCGTGCGTCCCCTCCTGCCTGCCCCTTGGCTGGTGGCTCCAGGAATCGGACAGAAGTGCCCAGGGTCTGGCATAAACCCCTCCAGGGTGCCTTGCTCCCTTGGGATTACAACATGTTAGGAAGAATCAAGTTGGCTATGTCCTGGTGGAGACTGACAAAGTAGACTGTCCTTGAGTTTCTAGAACCCCAAGCCGGGAGAGCACCCCCCTCCCCGTGTCTGCATCATGAGGGGCAGGGGAGGGCTGCTGAGGAAAGCTGGGGAGTAGGCCTGGCAGTGCCAGGATAAGGGTTGCTTCTGTTGGAAATCCTGTCCGTGTTGGATGAGGTCATCTTGTCTACCCCGTACCTCCAGGCCTGGAGGTGTAGGGAGGGAATAATGCCCTCCCTATTTTAGTCTTTTTAAAACAAACAATTCTGCCTGGCCTCAGTCACCTTGGCTCACAGGACAGGTGGTGGTAAGAGAGGATGAGAAGGATAGCTGCGTGTAGGAATTGGGGAAGGGGTCCCCTTCTCCAACAGGCTCCACACAGCTGTCTGCCTGGCCCTGTCCTCCCTGGGGCCTGTGGGAGCCCTGTTGCATGCAAGGCGGGGATGCAGGCTGGCCCATTTTCCTAGAAGCACATTTCTGCTGTCTCCCCTGGGGGCCCCAGCAGCCTCCACCCCTCTGTACCTAGTCCCTGCTGTGTAGGGCGTAGTTCAGGTTAGCTGGGTAGAGGCAATGGCTCAAGGCCTGTTCTTAGCTCATACGTAGTTCCTAGAGTACCAGGAAACCTAAGTACATTCCAGGGGACCATCTACTGGGCACCCGCCTAGCTGGATCCAGCAGAAAGCCTGGCTCCCCATGACTGGCCCCTCCCTCCTCCCTTCCTCTCTCCTCCCCGCTCCCCATTCCCGTAGGGTGATAGCTGGAGCTGCCCATTGTATTCACACGTATGGATTTAGTACCCTTGGTACCGATTTTCTTTATGAGACCCTCCTAAGGGTTGCCAGGCTTCAGCCGGGGGGACTTGTTTTCTGGGGGTTAGGGAAGCTGTGGGCTCCCAACCTGTTCCCTGTCCCACCTGCACGTTCTCCCCACACCTGCCTGGTGAAGCCCTCGGTGTTGTCAGATTCCAGGCGGGTCCATGAACTCCATGGGGCTTCCTGCGCTGGGGCAGATGGGAGGAGCCACACCTCTGTGCCCAAGGGGGCTTCGGCACTCCCTGGGACTGTACTAGGGGCAGGGCTTGCAGGAACCAGCCCTCTCCTCTGTAGCCCATGGGCTTTCTCTGCTGTCTGTTACTCACCAGTTGGAGTATTTTGAGCCTGGAGAGCACCTGCTTCCTCCGGCCAGCAGCTGTGGCGGGTTAAGGGTCGCTTTTCAGAACAAGGGGTGGGTGGAGTGTGGCTGTTCCACAAGGGTTGGGTGGAGGCTCAGCACTAACTTGCCCTGCCCACCCTACCCTGCTTCAAGCCTGTGACGCCCCTCGGGTGTCTGCACAGCCTTAGGAAGAGGATGTGCTCTGAAGCAATAACACCCTGGGGAGGTCACCCAGGCCCCCTCACTGATTTCTTGTTTGTTCTGTGACATCTCCCTCACCTCCTGGCGAGGTAGGGTGGGGACTGGAGCCCTGTTTTCTTGTCTCCTTGTTGTGAGCACGTGGTGCCCCATAGGGGTTGTGACCATTGGGTGGGGGAGCCCCTGTGCATCCCCCACCCAAGGGTGAAGCAGGGAGAGGGGCAGCGGCTATTGTCCATAGCTTTGGAATCCCTGCGAGCCCCTCCTGGCTGGCTGCCATCTGTCTGGGCTTGCTGGCCCAAACTCTACTATTTGGAGAGGAGCAGAAAGGGAGGGAGGGTGGAGGGGGCACTTGCCAGTGGCCGGGGTCTCAGAGTGATGCTTTTGTCACTCTGTGGAACCATCTCGACCTCCTTCTCCAGAAGCCTCTTCTCCCACTGGAGGGTATGGGCCTTCAGGGGCACAAATCCTTTCTTTTTTTCCCATCTGTCTGAGGAGACAGATTCGGCAATTGGGAGAGCCACCCCTTGGGGTCCCTGTGTGCACTCTGGCACCACCAGTCTGGGCCCCCTCCTCCCAGTAGAGGCTGGGCTGGGGTGGGGGCCATTGAGGCTTGCCTCCCCCACTGTCTCTCTGGAGCCATCCAAGGCCCTCCCTCAGAATGGGCAGAACACACTGCAGCCCATCTGAGAAGTTAGGCCCCTGGAGCGGAACTGACTTGCCCGAGACCCACTTCTCTCCACCTCCCCCCACCGCAACAGAAGAGCAAAAGGAGTGGAATGAGGAGCTCCTCCTGCCCTGCACAAGAGACCCCTGCCCAGACAGCTGGTGCCACACTTGGCGTTTCTGATCTGTAGGCCCTGGTTGCATAGCCAGGCTTGCTGGTTCCATCCCTAGACCAGTAACTTTTCTGGGTTGTGGGAGGAGGGGGCGGTCCGAGCTCTCCAGAGCCCTGACCTTTCTGAGCGAGCACATGCAGGTTTTGATCATGGTCAGGTGTCTGAGTGGGGGCTCCCCGCCCTTCCTCCAGCCGCCATAAACCCTTCAACACCAACCACAGGAAGAGTTATTTGTTTTAATTTTGACACCAGTCCCTGGTCCGGACTGGAAGGAACAGGGACCCTGGGACTCCCCATCTTAGGGAACCCCTCCCAAACTTGGGGATATAAGAGGCCTGGCCATTGGTTGTGCTCTCCAACTTTCTGCTGTCTGCGGAGGACTTTGCCGCCAGTGTGCCCTTTTTTCAGAGCCCCTGCTGGCAGGTGGAAGCTTGTATTGTTCTGCCCCATTTTACAAAGCAGGGCAGCTGAGGTCTTGGATGGAAAAGTGTTCTCCAAAGTTACCACCTCCGTGAGTGGCTGAACCAGGGCTAGGGGCTAGAACTTATAGCGCCCCCACACCACCAATATTCAGAGCTCGCGCTTCTGTACCTGCAGGCCATGTAGGCAGCTTGGGCGGTGCCCTGGTCATGGGAGGGTGGTCACCATCCAGCTCCATGAACCAGGAGCTCCTGGGAGCATGTGGGGCTCTGAGATGGCAGAGTCCCCTCCCCTGGGAGGCACAGCTGTTGCATTAGCAAGGCCACCTGCATTTCTTTATTGAGTTGCAGCACTGTGCCAAGCTCAGGGTCTGAGTCCCCTCCCAATTTCCCATCTTTGGTGACTCCCAAGGCCTCCAAAAGGAGGAGCCAGTGTCTGCAGAAAGTACACAAGTGTGGGCAGGAAGTGTACTCATCCAGGAGCTCAACTGGCTCAGAAGATGTGAGAAAGGCTGGTACCACCCCGCTTAGCCAGAGCTGCTGGGAGGGCAGAGTAGATTTGTACCCAGGGTCATGGACATCACCTCGGAATCCCTTTGACTCCACACCTGCCTGCCAGGGAAAGGGGTGGCAGGAAGGTTGGGGGCTTCTCCAGCACCCACCTTCTCTCCACAGTTTCAGGAGCCACCATGGCCTCGGGGGAGGAGGAATTTGTGGCGCCCCTGGTTTTGCAATGGGTCATGTTGCATTGTGTTCATGACCACGTAGCTCATGTTGAAAATTAAAGTTTTTGGCTTTTCTAACCTGGCTGGCTCTTCTGTGGTTCTAAGACATTGCTACCTAGAGAGGGCTGTGTGCTGGCCAGGATGGCCTGTGGGGCGGGGCCTGTCCAGAGAGACCAGGGCTGCAAGAGAGCTCTGGATGAACCTGGTTGGCTAAGAGGGAAACTGAGGCCCAAGCAGACGTGAGAGTCCCCAAGGCTCCATTGCTGCTGAGGGCAAAGAGTTCATCCCCACAGTGTCCAGGTGGCTTCAGTGACATGGCTGTCAGCAAAGTCCCCGCACCCTGAAGCCAGCCTGGCCAAAGGTAAGAGCCTCAGCTTTGTCATTCATACCACACCTGGTCTAGTCTGCCCTCCATGCTGGGTCAGCAGAAGGTGAGGTGATGGGCCACATGGTGCCAAACCCCACCCACTAGTCCTCGCTGCTTCGCCCACTTTTCCTTGTGTCCTGTGGTCCATCTCCTGCCCTGATGTTGGGAGGCTCCCTTGCTTGGACAGCAGAGAACTGTACGGTGACCGCCTCATCACAGAACAAAGTGGTCACTGCTTCTGCACTGTTGCCCAGCCTGTTCCCGGCTTCCCCCCAAGTGCTGATGGGGACATGCTTCTTACAACTTGGACCCCAAGGGGTCTGCACCCACAGGGTGACTGTAGAGTCTGGCTTGCACATATCATGTGACTTTAATGTGTCTTTGGAGAGGAGTTGTGCTGGTGGTACGATGGCCCCTCGCCCCTGTCTGAATTGTGGCAATGACTAAAGCCAAACCCTTGTGTTCCAGGTGTGAGCCCAGCCAGCCTGGGTCAGGCTGTCAGATGGACTTTCGCCTGGCTTGGGACCTTTCTGCCCGGCTGCCACGCACAGCCCCAGGGCTCATGGGGGGCGAGAAGCCCATATTGTCACAGGCCCATGTCTCTAGCCTGTGGATGCTGCGGAAGACTGGGGTGGCGCCTCCAGGGCATGGCTCGCAGCGGTGGTGTGGGCTCCTGTGCGCCCCCAAATGGAGTGGGCAGGTACAGCGTGCAGCGCTCTCAGACGCATCGGTGCTGGCAGCCAGAAAACGAAGGACCACAAGGTTGAGGAAGGCGCCAATGACCGTGAGCCCCAGGAGGATGTAGAGGAAGCTGAAGGCCACGTAGGGTGGCTTCTTCTGCAATGCCTCGTCGCTCTGCAGCGCCACAAAGTCGCCAAAGCCTATGGTTGTGAGCGTGATGAAGCAGTAGTAGTAGGCATGAAAGAAGGTCCAGCCCTCAAAATGGGCGAAGGCGGCAGCCCCGAGGGCCAAGGTGGCAACACAAACCAGCAGCCCAGCAGCCACCATGTTCTCAGTGGAGACGCGTGCTCCCCGCAGGCCCAGGCCCCGCTTCGCCGCCAGCAGGAGATGCTGCACCAGCGCGTTCAGCCGCTCCCCCAGGCTCTGGAAGGTGACAAGTGTCAGCGGGATGCCAAGGAGCGCATAGAACATGCAGAAGACCTTGCCGGGATCCGTACCTGGTGCTGCGTGACCATACCCTGGCAGGGGAGGCAGAGGGGACCTGGTGAACTCCAATAGCATTCTTGTCATGCCAGAGCCCTGCAGCCTGCCATCTAATACCAGCTCCAACTGGGTACCCCCACCTTGCACCTGCTCCAGACTGTACAACCCCAGGCGTGTCTCACCTGGGGGAGGGGAGGGGATAGGTCAACTGCACTACACTTAAATATCAGGATTTTTTTTTTTAATCAAAAAGGGATGTGTCCCAGAGGTATTATGCCAAATGGAAGTAGCCAAACTCGAAAAACGTCACAGACCCATACAGTGAAATGTCAGGGATGGGGCACATGTGCACTGGTGTCAGTCTTGCCACGGGAAGAAGGGTTAGCTGTGAAAGGGCTGGCGGCTGACAAGGGCTGCTTCTCAGTGTCTGGGGTCATGCCAGTGTTTGGCAGAGATGGAGCCAAATGGTGACAGTCACGTCAGGTACGACCAGGATCTTACTTAACCCTCCCCCGACTGTACGACATGATCTCATTGGTTCCATTTCCCGGATCAAGACACACCAGGTCCTAATCCTGAACCACTGCCCTTCCTTGCTGCCAGGTGCCTCTCTTCCACCCAGGCACAGCCCCTGCTCCTGGGCCATGGGATGTGGCGCTCCACAAAGCTCCTGGCAGCACAGACGGTGATGGCGCCCCGAGTGGCCGGAAAAGGACAACCTCAGAGAAGGCTCTGTGGATGGGACAGCCCGTCTGGGAAAGCAGATCAGGCCTATGTGGGGGGCCTCAAAGAGTGGGCTTGGAGGGGAGAGGAGGCAGAAGAAGTGAAGGACTCCCCCTTCTCTCCGCTGGCCAACACAGCGGCTGGGAAGGTCTGAAGCCGAGCCCAGAAGGGATAGCAAGGGTGCGCAGGTGGGCAGGAGGAGGCAGCTGAGCAGGAGCCAGCTAATGAACAGCGCTTATTCCGCCTAGGACCCGGTGCCAAGCGTTGTTCCGCGCTTGGCCTGGTTTAATCCTGGCAGCCGTCCCGCAAGAAAGAAAGAATGGGGTACGTTAGGAAAGCAGGTCTCAGCACTCAGCTGCTAAGCCCACAACTCGCCTTCATCTGGTGAGAGCAGCCCCAAGAGACTTTCTAAAGGCTTTAACTAGCTCCCCGCTAGTGGCCGCAGTGCGAGTGAGGAGGCCTTTCCCCATTCCTTCGCACCTGCAAGACGGCAGCCTTGGCAACAACAGGCCGACCTGAGGCTTCCCCAGGGTGAGGCCCCAGGTTGTGGTCATCAGCCCTTCCTCACCTGGCGTCAAGGAGGCCTCACGCCGCCCAGGGTCTGTTCTCTTATCGGTCTTGTTCTCTGTGACTGATCTCCCTGACCGTCATCCCGACCCCACTCCCGAGACAGGGCCTGTGGACAGCTTTACTGTACATGAGAGAACCTTGAGCTCAGGGAGGGTCGGCAAGCACTCCAGAGTCAAAGCTGGAGCGTGACGTAACCCCACCTCCAGCGCAACCCACTTGCCTGCCCCGCCCTGCCTACGTGCACCTTCGGCCCCAGCACCTCGGCATCTCAGGGAAAGAACCGGGAGGCTGGCGACCCGTCCAAAGTCACTCCGCTGGCAGGGGCAGGCAGGGTGGGACTGACAGCCCCGGGTGGCTCACCGATGGTGGTGATGACGGTGATGGCGAAGTAGAAGGAGCCCGCGAACTTCCACTGGCGGCCGGCGCGGTGCGGCTCGGCCCGCAGCGCCAGGCGCTCCAGCTCGCGGTAGTCCTCAGCCGAGAAACGGTACTTCCTGCGGAACTCGCCGCGTTTTTGGGCCAGCAGCTTCTGGCGGCCTCTCTCCGCCTCGGACTCCAGCGCGTCGAAGACTGCGGCGCCCACCAGCAGGTAGGACAGGATGCACACGACGAGTGCCGCCGCGCGCACGCTTTGCTTGCCCATGGCGAAGCCCCGGCGCCGGTGCGCTCCATGCGCCCCGACGGCGGCGCCGGAGCCCAAGGCCGCCCGGTGCGCTCTGCCCTGGCCCGTGCCGGCCCTATGCGCCCCGGAGGAGAGCCGGGGGGGCGGTGCCGGGAGGGCTCTCGGAGGCGGAGTCAGGGCGCTGGGAGCCCCGGAAAGCTAGGAGGTCTTCGTTGCAGCTTTCCCCACCAGCGTCTCCAGAGCTGATGCGTCTGCCAGCGCTGACACCTGGAGTCCCATCTGGTCCTGTGGCTAGTCATTGGCAGAGTTGTGCCCTGGTCCTCAATCCAGGAGACATAGCAGGGAGCAGAGACGGCCAGTCATTGATCTCACACACACACAGGGACACGGAGCTAGGCGCGTCACTTTGGAGACAGGATGGGCGCCACCAGTTTGGAAGCTTCTGAGGAAGGGACCTGAGCAGAGAATTCAGTGCCGGTGGCTGCGTGAAAGCAGAAGGGAGTTTGGCGCGGCTGCTAGGAACAGTCGGGAGATGAGCAGGCTGGAGCCCAGAGTGTGGGGCAGGGTGGGATGGGGGAGCAGGACAGGCAGCTCCAGGCGGAGTCTTCACTGGATCTTATTGGGGTTATCTGAAAGTTGTGGAATGTCCTGAGCAAGCAAGCAAGCGCACACAAAGACATCAATTATCCAAATTGGCTTGTGAAAAGGGGGGAATTTGTTCAAGTGGCGCCTACTGAGCGTGGCTGGGGGCTGGGCGCGTGGTACTGCAGCTGGAGAAGCTTAGACGGATGTCCACGTGCCCAAGCTGCAGCCAACGGACTGTGGGCAGCGGTGAAGCGCCCCGCACTCCCTCCACCTGCAGGTGATGACCGAGACCTGGAGCTTTTGGAAGAAAGCAGAGCAGCCAGGTGGAGCGCGTGCTGCGGCTGTGCGAGGGGACCACCATTCCAAGCTTCTGTATGTGAAGCAGCTGAGTTAGGAATCCATCTGATTCCCAGAAAGGGGGCGGGCAGTAGGACATGCTAATGATCCAGGAGAGGGCCCCCTGGGGCTTTGGTCTGACCAGCTGGGTATTTGGGGGCCCTTGTCAGTGTCCTGGGCGTTGTGCGAGCTCCCGGCTCTCAGGTGCAGCCTTGGCTCTCCCCCAAGCCAGACTGCTCCAGATTCTCCCCGACAGGCCCTTGGCCTTTGCTCCTTATATCACCTCCTGCTTTGCTCCCAACGGCCCTCTCAGCCCATTCAGCTGGCAGCCTGAATCCCGTGCTTGCCTGAGGCCAGGCCCAGCTGAAGCACTTTACCCATTTAATCATCACAGCGTCTTATCTGCTAGCCAGAGCTGGCCAATGCCACGTTCCCTCCACCTGTGTGCGCGTCTCTCTTCTTGACTTTCTCTGCCCCGGCTGATGTCATTGGTGCTCCTGGGGGCCTCTGGGATTCTCCCATCTTGCATTTCTCCCGCTGCTTTGTAATTCTCCAGTTCCATATTTGTGGTTTTGCCCTGCAGCAGACAGGAATCCCATCTTGGTCATCCCTCTGTCCTCAGTGACCAGACTGGCTCCAAGCATATACTCAATGGGTGGGAACAAATGAGTAGCCGTGACATGTGACATTGAAGTGCATGGACTTAGGAGGGCTCATAGTCCACATTGCTTACCCCTGTGTGAACTTGAGATGCCTCAGTTTCTCCATCAGTTAAAATGGGGCTAAGCATTCCTATCTCATGGGGTTATAGTGGGCAGGAAAGTGTCCTCTGAAGTTGATCAAGCGCTATTCCCCAGGAATAGTGGGTTTCAAAGCCAAGGAGGCCCAAGGTCACAAATAGAGTTAAGCTGGCTAATTAGCTGACTTCAAGATGAGAGATTGTCCTAGGCGGGCCCCCTGTGAATGTAAGGGTCCTTCTATTGGAAGTGACTTGGCCTTGCACTACTGGTGCTCAGGTGGGGAAGGGACTCCAGGGCCAGGAAAATGGAATCCACAAAAGGCGGGGAGACAGTTCCCTGCCTGGAGCCTCCTGAAAGCAACTAAGTCCTGCCAGCCCCTGGATCTATCCCAGGGAGACCTGCGTAGACTCCCCCCAATCTGCCAGGCCACAGACCTGGAAGGCGATGTGTAAGTTAGGTTGCTTAGTTTGTAAAGTTTCCCAGCAGGCAGCTGACCCAGCAGCTGTGAAGACACAGTGAGCCGGGACACATGAGACCCCAAGAACTTGCCTGGAAGTGCCAGCATGTGTGGATGCCCAAGCCTGAGGGCATCCCAGACCCTACACCCTCCCTGACTTGGTTCCCTGGAAGAATCAGGATCCAGGGCTAGGGGATGGGGGGTCTAGCCCTCTCTTACCCCAGATCAGAGCTCGGTGACCCAGAGGCAGGGTATTGTCACAGTAAGGCGTGCTGCCTCTGCCACCTCAGCCTCCACAGCCAGCTCAGCACCTCCGCCACCTCAGCTGCCTCAACCTCATTTTACTGATGCCACCAGCAGATTGTTCTGCTGTTTACTTAGTCAAGGAGTGGGAGCCTGGACTGGAGCCCAAGAGTGGAGCTCCAAGGACCTTCTCAGCAGAGAGGGGCCCGAGATGGACTACAGGGTCAGTGGGGTTAAGAGAGCAGCCTGCTCTTAGGGGAGGGGCAGAACCCCACTCAGGTATGGCTTACCCCACTCAGGTATGGCTTGCGAGGGCCTGGTCATGCACAAATACCAGGTCCTCCACTTTATTTTATTCTTTAAGAATTTTTTTTTAATTTGAAAAACAGAGTTGCAGAAAGAAGGAAAGCAAGAAAGACACAGAGATCTTCCATTTGTTGGTTCACTCTCCTAAAGACCACAAGAGTAGAGCTGGGCCAGGTTGAAGCCAAGATCCAGGAGTTTCTTCCGAGTTTCCCATTTGAGTGCAGAGACCCAAGAAATTGGACCATCCTCTGTTACCCTTCCAGCCCATTAGCAGAGAGCTGGATTGGAAGAGGTACAACCAAGATTTGAACCAGCACCCATATGGCATGCTGGTGCCAAGGCCAGTGGTTAGCTTGCTACACCACGGTGCCAACCACACTCCTTTCTGACTGGGTGTCTGTGGACTGGACACTTCTGAGTTCTCATCAGAGAAATGGGTGACAGTGAGGCTCACCTCACAGGGCCTTAAGCTGTGATGTGTCATTGCCAGCTGCCCCATGGGCTTCCCCTTCCTGTCAGCCTGTGGAGGCTAAGAATTCTATATGCCAGAAACAAAGCCAAGGCCTAAACTCCCGAGCTATGCTGGGCTCAGAGGGCCATCACAGATGTCCAACATAGGGCCTGCCCATCTCGTTACCAGAACCATAACGGCAGGGGTGGCACTTGACCATGGCTGTGTTCTGATGGCCAAGTTGCGATCCAGCCAGGCTGTCTTGCTCCTGAGGCCTTGACCCTGGCTGGGCAAGATATTGCTGGTTTTGTGTTCCTCCACCTCTTTGGCCATCACTTTGTGCATCTGAGGGTCCCTGGGTAGGCTCATTCCCCTTCCTGAGGATCCGATGACCAGCAGCTGAGTGGGGCTTTATCAGGTGTGCCTGCTGCACTGGGAATTGTCAGGGTCATGAGGGGAGCTGTCTGGCACTGCCAGGCGGGTGACTCTGCCCTAAGCTTGGCGTTTTGGGTTCAGCAGCTCTATTTTAAGGTAGAGGAGGTTAAAATCTGTGGATGTGTGTTCTCAGCTTGAAGAACTGTCAGCTGAGCTTACCAAAAACAGCAACATCCTGAGGCGCTCCCCCTCCTTCTGCCCCTCCTACCTCCTTGGGGACCTGGTGATTTTCCTCTGCCCCACGATGCCAGAGTCACACCTGGAACTCCCCCATCGGGACCTTGGATTTTCTTCTTCCAGAATTCCAGAGTTGCCAGCTTTGAAGTAATGCCAATGTCCAGCAGGACCCTGGGCGCCCTTCAGAGAACTGCAGACCCCTTGGGAGTCTAGGACCTTCTGAAAATGCAATGGGTCAGGCAGGTGTGGGTGCCATTACCATGTCAGCAAAAAGAAACTGAAGCTCAGAATGGGAGAGAGCAAGAGATAGAGGCCGAGAGACAGCGAGAGAACTGCGCAAAGACTGCAAGTGGCAGAGCAGCCCCAGGAAGGCCTGGGAAGAGAGCGCACGTGGTATGTGGCACTGTGGCTGGGACACCACTTGGGATGCCCATATGGCAGTGCCTGGACTGGAGTCCCAGCTCCACTCCCCAGTCTGGGTGCCTGCTGATGCACACCCTGAAAGGCAGTGGCTGACAACTTGTGTTGGGTCCCTGCCACCCATGTGGGAGATGGGAACTGAATTACTTGCTCCTGCTTTGGGCCTGACCCAGCCATGGCTGTTGCAGGCATCTGGAGGAATCAGCCAGCAGATGGGAGTTACCGCTCTGTCTTTGCCTTTTAGATTAATAATATAAATATATGAACTTCACAAGGAGCCAGATCCAGCTATATCATGGGGAAATGACTGCTCAGCACCTTGTCCCTGCCTGCCAGTGCAAAGCGGTCCTTTGCCCAGCACTGTGCCAGTGCAGGGAGTGCCCTCACCACCCCAGCAAGTTCTCTATTTTAAAAAAAATTACTTATTTTTTTATTGGAAAGGCAGATCTATAGAAAGATGGAGAGGCAGAAAGATCCTCCATCTGCTGGTTCACCCCCAAGTGCCCATAATGTCCAGAGCTGAGCCAATCCAAAGCCAGGAGCCAGGAGATTCTTTTGGGTCCCCCATATGGGTGCAGGGTCCCAAGGCCACCACTGCTTTCCTAGGACACAAGCAGGGAGCTGGATGGGAAGTGGAGCACTGGGACACGAACCAGTGCCCATATTGGATCCTGGTGTGTACAAGATGGGGATCTAGCCATTCACCATCATGCCAGGCCCTCTTCTTCCCCTGTCTGCACTGCACAGTCCCCAGACCTGCTGGCACCTTGAGGGATTGACTTTTTTTTTAGTGAGACTCTAGCTTGGTAATTGTCCAGAAGGCCCGGTGGTGCTGAACCTTTACCCCAGGAAGATCTCTCCAGCCTCTTTT